TATGTGTGTGTGTGTGTGTGTGTGTGTGTGTGTGTGTGTATACATATATATATATATATATATATATGAATTTATATTGCATAGTTGTATAGATCTATTCGCACATATGAAATTGACGTGACCCCTCACGTATATATCCTGTTCGCAATTCCATCGGTACGGTTGATGCAGAGATGAAGAGAGACGACGAGGAGTTTGATATGCACAGTCGATCGAAGACGCAGCCCTGGAAGCACGTGTCTTTGGGTACTGATCGATTTCATCAGCGATACTGGTATTTTGCTGCAACTCCCTCAAAGTATGTGGGTTTTCGCATATTTTTTCCAAACTTTATCTCAGTGTGAAGTATTGTTTGTGATCACATGCGATATTGTTTGGTTGTCAAGGGGGGTTTTTATAATGAAAGCTTGTATCGGTTCCATCATATTCCTCGCCATAAACGCGTTATTTAGATTTTCTCCGAACGTCATTTAAAACACCTTGCGTATGCTAGCTGTCACATAGTTGTGTTGTTCTTTTATCGAGAAATGTATTGTGACAGCAAGCATGAGTCCGATGCACATGTCATAACCAGCACTCTACGCCCCAAGGTCTTCCATTATTCCTAAAACCCTAAATACCATTTCATGTCATTTCTACCAGGATCTTCATCGAAACACCCGATCCCGGCTTCTCTCCCAAGTTTGACGAAAACAACAAACGTATTGATAGCGAAGAAACCGTTTCTCAGCCATCCACAGACGGCGAAATCAAATCAGAAGTTAATGTTACAGGGGAAATAAACGTACAGAGAGAGGAAATCGTAGCTCAAGACCCAAACTTATTAAAAGAGGAGGGTGCACCAACTAGTGGCGCAGTAGTCCCACCTCCAGCCGCCACGCATACAACACAAAACGGCAACCATGTACAGCCGAATGTGAATGCGCATGTACCCAACTCCACCGCATTGCAGGTCAAGGCATCGCCCGGGAGGAACGGGCTTTGGGCTGGTGCAACGGCCAATGAAAACAGCACTGTAACCGCAACCGCAAGTACTCCGACCGCGACCGCAAATGTGACCGCAAACCCGGCGCCCGCAACCGCAAAGACCGAGCCGGTGATTCCTATGGTGGTCGACCAGCCACGCCCAGTAGCTGGGGCGGGGGTGCAGGGGGAGAACAGTGGCGGTGTGGCCAGCCCTGCCGCGCAGGCTATACACCAGGACACTGTGCCTGTCGGTACACCGAGGGCGAGTACGGCCCTCTGTGAAGGTGCGCCTGGCCAGGCTGTGGCTGACATGGGGGTGCCAGCGGGTGCTGTGGCTGAGGTAGGTCAAGGTGGGAACACTGGCGCGCCGGTACCTCTGAAAACGGAACCCTGGGCCGGGACCGGGGCCGAAGTCAACCAGACTTCCAAGGCGACTACCAATGGCAGTACACTTGACCATGGGCAGAGTACTGAAGGTATAGTTACGGGTACACCGGCGATCGTGGGTACGGATGTGAAGGTGGTGAAGCCGTCTGTGACGGACCTTTCTGCGGGCAATCAAAGTATGTCAATGAACATGCACACACCTACCACGCCTCAGGTGGCGCCAGGGGCAGGACAACAACCACAGCCGCACGTACAACCGCAGGCACAGTCTGCTCAAGGAAACACAGCTACACACATACACACACAGACACCGATACAGCCTCAGGGGCAAGCACAGATCAATCCACAAACGCACACACAGTCACAGGCAATGCCACAGACACTCCCACTGGCACAGCCGCAAGTACAGGCCGGATTACAGCCACAGCCACAGCCACAGCTACAAGCACAGATCAATCCACAACAGGCAATGCCACAAACACTCACACTGGCACAGCCGCAACTACAGTCACAATCACAGACACAACCACAACTACAGTCACAATCACAGACACAACCACAACCACAATTACAATCTCAGACACAGACACAGACACCACAACCACAACCACAATTTCATTCTCAGACTCAGACACCACAACCACAATTACAATTTCAGACTCTGACTCTGACTCAGACACCGACACCGTCGGCGGGTGTAGCACACCCTGCCATAGCACAAGGCAATAGTACTGTGCTGAATGGCAGTGCTCCTGGTACCACACCTACCGTACCGAGTGGTACCACTGGGACGTCTCAGTCTCCTAACACCACCAGTGGGGGTGTGGAGAGTGTGCCTGTAGCCCTGCAGCACCCATACCCTACACTCAAACCAGGCCAAGAGAAGTGGGCCTGCATTGACACCAGTCGGGTCGACGAGTTGATGATGAGTCTGAACACATGGGGTATGTGTCTGTGTATATACTTGAGCATGTGTGTGTGTGAGTGGCAGGGTGGGGTGGTCTGTGTATATACTTGAGCATGTGTGTGTGTGAGTGGCAGGGTGGGGTGGTCTGTGTGTATCGTTGTGTGCGTGTGTGTATGTAAATAGTATTGTGCTCAGCGAATGCCTACAACTCCGCCGTTTCGCTCCCAATTGCATCACGCACATTAATTGTTTTGGGATTAGGTCTGCGACAGAGGAAACAAACTCTGACTCGCTATATGTAGTGCGATCTATTTCCGTTCCGTTCCCAATTGTAGTATAACTCACAAAGCTGATTCAAATTTGCCCTAAAAACAGGTTTGCGGGAATACGGCCTGTACAGCAGCCTGAAGGTGCTGCGAGAGAGACTGGAGCGGACTGTGTTCGAGACGGCGCGGAGGAAAGCAGTCGCATCCAACGCCAAACACGACAATGACGATGGACACCCACCTACCAGTGTCAATGGCAGTAATGTGAGCGGAACAAATGTCACAGCGGCCTGAGCGCGCGCGTTGTATGGACACGGCCAATTAAAATCTGCAAAGGATTGGGGTACTGCTGACGTGGGTGTGAGATCGAAGTCAGGCACAATAGCCCAGTGCAGTGATGGCACGGGAGATTGGGTGAAGGAGTCCCCAGGTGAAGGGAGAGGAGTGGAGTGACACAGAGGTCAAAGCTACCGAGACATGCACAGTATCTCCTACCACGTGCATGAGTGGCTTTCTCACGACACGCACATACAGGCGACAACAATTGGGTGTGGCCGCTGGGGAGATATAGGTGACTGGCCTAGCACCGGGTGGTTGGTACACAGGTCAACGCTGCCCAAATACACGCAGCAGAATGTCAAACCTCAGGACACATGCAACTAAAAATAGGTGCCCCGTTGGTGAGATTAGTGATCTATCTAGTGGTATGAGCGGTACGAAGGTCAAAGTGGCCGAAGTACGCATAGGTCACCCTTGCAGACGTGGATGAAAACACGCTAAGTAGATAATATTACATGCATGAGTGTCTTTAAGGTCACACGCGCACAAGCAGCCACAAACGTCGGGCGCTGAATAATGACTCCAGAAATATATATATATATATATAAAGTACAGACGTACTCGGAAACAAAAAAATAATCTAGTAGTAAACGTTTGACAAAATAAAAGACTGACAACATACAGGGATTGTAGTTCTAGCCAGCATACCAATTGACATACAATCTGAGGAAGGGCTCGTATCTGCGCGATGCAACCGCTGAAAGATATACTAGTATGAATGCCAATGTGGTGACACTGTTCAATATGTATTATATACATATATTTCTATATATTTATATATATATATAGATATATATATAGATATATATATAATATATATATATACATATATATATATATGTTTATATACACATATATATATATATATGTATATAGATATATATAA